GGAAGTCTGTACCTCTCAAGTACCTCAGCCAATGGGGAAAGAGAGAAGGGAAATGCAGCAGGGAAATTGGGATAAAAATGAGGCTGTGTCCTCCAAAAATTTGAGACCCCAGGGGAACGCCCCATGGCCTCTCCCTTTATTCAAATAAAGCCAGAAAGGACTCCTCTGTCTCCTTTTTGGACATAAACCTCTGGCATTTGTGGATTAATTTTCCTAACAAGGATAAGGCCATCTCAGCCACAGAGCAGCCAGCCTAAACTGCTTCTGAAAACAGGATGGAGGCTCACAGCCCCTTATGAGCCAGAAAAGCCTGCAATGCACCCAGCACAAACAATAATTTAAGTCACAGCACAGCCAGACACAAGGTTTGAGCTGCCCATGTGCTGCAATAGTTGGTGGGAATATTAAAACCAATAAAAATCAGCCTGTGTTTTCTTCCCAGCCTGGTGCTGCCAAGGACTGTGACTCCCTGGCACAACCATTGCAGGCAGCCCATCCTGCTTTTGTGAGGGAAACCAGTGTGTTTGCAACTCTGTCATCACTCACAGGGCTGGAAACCACAGGAGAGTGCATCCTCCTTCATGAGCACCTCTGCTACAAGGGAAGAGCTACAGGAGCTGCCCTGGGGGAAGGGGGTGGATGAGGGCAGCTGTGAGTGCCAGCCTGCATGCACAGACCTGTCACTCCTTCCTGCATGGACTGTGGGAACACGGTGGTTGCACAAGCAGGGGTGCCTCACTGCAGCAAAGAACAGCAATCCACTGGGTTCCTTACAGTACTTTGCTGTGAGGTAATTGAGGAAGGTTAATCCCAGATTATTAAGGAATTTCATCAAGAAGCCCCGGTGCTTTGTGCAGTAAAAATCAAATATCCACCCACGCAGTAGTCGTCAAACAATGTTGGTGCATTTTGCATTTGCATTGCTGGGATTGATTTCCTACATTTTTCCCCTCTCTGTTTCTGAGTTCAGAAGATTTTTTAAGCTTTATCGGTCACTCCTGATTTACCATGGCACACCAGCCATGCTACCTGTGCTTTCAAATGTACCATGTCACCAAAGCACATTATCTTTTCTTTCCTTCCTTCCTTCTTTCCTCCTTTCCTCCTTTCCTTCTTTCCTCCTTTCCTTCTTTCCCAGCCTCCTCCCTTCCTTTTTTTTTTTAATCTGTAAGCACGATGATGCTTGCGCTCCAACCTGTGCCAAGGCAAAGACTTTACTTCTTCAAATCTTGCCAGTTTTAGAGTCTGAAGGTTGGGGACAGCTAGGGGGAAAAACAAGAACAAGAAGTCTCTGAAGCTGTAGGAATTTTGTTATTGTTGTTTTCCTTTGTAAGATAAAAGAGATTTTCTGTAACCTGAAACCGTTGGATTTTCTTCTTACTTCACAAAGTTATTTTATTTTGTTATTGATATTGCATAGGAGACCATCAATCTTTGTGTGAAAGGCCTAACTTCTCCGGATGCTGGGACCACTTTGGTAAGGCTGCTTTCTGCTCTTCTCTTACAGGAAAAGAAAACAAAAGTTGTCCTATAATTCCACTGAGAAGCAGATGAGTATTACCAGCTGAGTTCAGTTCATTCTCTACATACCCTGTATTCCATGTGCTGGTATGGGAACCATCAAATGCTGACAGGATAAGAGAAAATAGCCTCAAGTGGTACCAAGGGAGGTTTAGATTCAATATCAGAAAAAAATTCTTCACCAAAAGGGTTTTCCAGCCCTGGATCAGGCTGCCCAGGGTATGAATCTCCATCCCTGGAGGTATTTAAAAGACACGTAGACATGGTTTAGTGGTGGACTAAACCAAGCAGTGCTGGGTTAACAGTTGGACTAATTGATCTTAAAGGTCTTTTCCAACTTAATTCTATGATTTTTTGTAAAAAGTATCCCTAAAAATGTTATTCTGCTTTGCAATGGGATCATTTATCTGACAGAAATGTTTTTAGGGCATTTGCATAACCATATTTTGATGATGTACATCTGGAAACATATCTTGGGTACTTCCCATTCAACCTGGGTATTAAAAGCAGGCAGATGTGCTTTTAGTTCAGATTAACAAACATAGGAATGGCTGTTCACCTTAAAAACAGTGAAGGGTACCCCAGTCCTGTAGGAGGGAATGTGGTTATGAATCCTCATAAGTAGGAGCGTAGGTGCTGTGTTTTGCTTCAGTGTTTACCCAGTTCTGACCTTTCTGAGAGTTCTCTGAGATGTCACATGAGAAAGAGAGGGAGGTTGGGGTTTAGTTCTATGTTCTTGACAATCAATAAATGCTCAAAGTAGTGATGTTCAACTGCACTGGAAGTGCATTTCTGCAAAGGTGGAAAAAGTTGGTGATGTCAGTGGGTCTGCAGGAGAACACTAGCAGCAATATATTTGAAAATACTTCCCTTTGAGTGCAAAAGATTTCTACCACAAGTGCTGATTACTGAAATTAATTTCCCCTACACAGCACATATGCTGCAAGATTTCACATGTCTTTTCTGCTTTTTCCCTAATGGTTTTCTGTGAAAGCAATGGAACAATGTAGTTGTGTGATGCTTTCACATCTTCCTCTTTTCTGCAGTAAATGTTTTTAGCAGAATTTAGCCATCCTTTCTTATAAAATCTTAGCTTCTCTTCTGCAATACTTCTACCTATTTAAAGCTGTTTCGGGAGCACATAGAGGTGAAATGCTGAAGGCCTTATCAGGTGCACAAGAAACCTTATTTCTATGGGGATTTTGCTGTGAATTGGTGGGCTTATATTTTTCTCTGTGGTGCTCAAAAAAGCACTGTCTTCTCTTCTGTGACTTCAGTATGTATGAGTCCTTCAACTTTGTTAACATCCTAAAGATGCATTACACCTCTTCCCTTGAACTGAGGGATTTCATGAATCAAGGATATGATATGTGCTTAGGGAAGCTTTAAGTGATGGAAAAATTACGACTTCTGCCTCTGATCAAAGCAGAACAAAGCACCTGACTGCTCCTCTCTCTCTCTGTTACTTCAGTCTCTTTGCAATCAGGGAAATCTCCAGAGGAGAAGGTACCAAGAATTGTAATACCTAGGAAAAGAGAAGGAGCCCTGAGTGAGAATAACACCCTTGAGCTCAGCTGTCTATCTACAATTTAGGCAGCTTTAGCTGGTCCAGGCTCTTCTGTGTGTGATAAGGGGTTGTGGTATTTCCTTACTGCAGTCTGGCAGCTGATGAGCTCAGTTACTTTCCCTGGGATTGCCCATCCAAAAGCAGGGTTAAGTCCTGAGGAAGAAATGCAGACACAAATGTAACAGGCTGGAGTTTCCTTCTAGTTGCAATATGCTAATGGCAGAAATCTGTATTTAAAAAAGGCTTGAATTCAAAATGGAAGTGAGGTGATGAACTGTACAGCTGTAGCAGGGTTGGCAGTCACTCTGTAATGATAAGGATTCTTGATTAGACTAGCAGGAGAAAGTTTATTCCATCTGACTCACAGAGAGGCAGTCCCTGCCTGGGAGCTGTGACTTAGGGAAGCTCTCTGTGGCTGGCTCTGTTAATGATACTTTCTTCTTCTCTGAGCACCATGGAAACACTTTTACGTAAACACATGGTGCTGCTGTCGTCTGCATTTGCAAACCATGCTGGTGGAAAAGGCATGGATGGAGTACAAGTGTACAGGAATTAGATCATAGCCCAAAACAGGCACTCGAAACCCTGCCATGGAGAAAGAGCCAGTCTGACTCAATAGCAGACTCCTCTCAGCCATTTCATGTACAACGATTTTCTCTCTACATAAACGTTATAACCTGTATTTGATTTCTCTACAGAGTACCATTGTTTTAATTATGTCAAAATAAATGTCTGATTTGTAATTCAACCCAGTCCATCTAATCTATCTAATTCAAGGAACCTGTACTGAAGAAAAACTGGAGCAATGTAGCAGCAAATCGTTTCTGATAAAAAGGATGCATTTCATTTAAATCAAAATAATTTAAACCAGCAAACCAGAAGTCTGCATTAAAATTAATTATTTTACTCTTGATTTGTATTTCCACTTTTTTTTCTCCTTGAAGAATACCCTGTTTTCATTGGTGTGTAACCCTCTTGCTGTGATTATTACAGCTAAATAAAACCCCTTACACTGTAACTGCTTACACCATACCAGGGCTTATTTGTTTTGCAGGGGGGTGTGCAGTATCTGTACAAATCTGTATCATTTAGCATGCATTTACTCCCTCGGGCTCTTATTTACTAAGTGGTTTGTTTTTCTGCCCAGGATTTGCTCTGGACTGGCTTGGGTTGGTGGTGGCTCTGCCCTTCCAGGCTTCAAAGCAGGGATTGTCTACAGGGATTGTCCATGCCTCTCCCCTTGGGGCCTTGGGTGAGCAGTGGGTGCCTTCTGAGGAAGGCAGGACACAATGCTGGGGAGGCAAGTGCTCCCTCCACTTCCACAGGGCTGGTGGATGCTCTCTGGTGACACCACGACCATCCACATTTGGCCCTGCTGTCACATCCCACTCCCTGTCCAGGTGCTCAGCCAGGACATCCATCACATGCAGCCTAAGCAATCCTTCTTAATTTTTCTTGGGAAAATCCATTCCTTGATGGATTACATCCTGCTGGGCCTGAAATGGTGGTGCAGGCACTGTGTTTAATTTCAAAGGTTATTTTACACAACTATTCCCAAAGCACCATCAAGGTTTCACTTAGCTGCATTTTAACCTCCAAAGCCCCCAGCACTGCCTGACACTTACATTCACAGGCAGGGTCCTTCTGCCTGACCCCTCGTGGCTGGAGGAGCAGCCAGAGCATCCCAAGGGATGAAGCAGCCCCGTGTCCGTGGGAGTGACGAGGGCGGCAGGCGCCGCGTCCTGGCGCACGCCCCGTGAGGAAGCCGTGGGCGGTGTGAGGTGACTTATGAAGCTGAGCAGCCTCCCAGCACTACAGCTTCCCCCTGCACCCTGCTGGGGAGTGTTTCAGCAGCCTGTGGCAGCAGCCAGGCCCCCATGGCCTGGCACTGAGCCCCCTGCATCCTCCCTGCTCAGGGCTGGCCTCGGTGCTGCTCCACCAGGGAAACGCCAGGTACCAGGGCAGCGAAACGCTGGGCTTGTGCTCGGGGTTTTTGGTGGTGGCGGCAGGCAGGAAGGAGAGGGACACAGAGGAGGGTGCTGTGACTCCTCAGGCTCCCTTCCCCTAACCTTATTCCCCTCTCCTCCCAGCCCAGGAGCTGCAGGAAGATGATGTGCCTGCCCACCTCCCCACCGGCGCTGAGGACGTGCCTGGGGCTCGGGCTCTTCATGCTGCTCTGCCTTGGGATAGGTAAGCAGGAGCCAGGATGGGAGCATGGGAAGGGGCTGGGAACCAGCAGCAGCACCCATGGGATGGTCAACAGGGGATGGTGGCCCTCAGGACACTCCTGGTGCCTTCTGCCAGGGCTGAGCCCAGGGTTTGGGGCAGCTGGCACTTCACTGAGGAGCCCTCAGCTTCCCAGGCCCATTTTGCACCAGGGTGCTGGCTCCCAGACAGGCATGGTGATCTCCCATCCCAGCCAGGGTGAGAGAAATGAGGGTGTTTTTGGTCAGCTGATGTCTGTGGGGAGCACATGGCACAGCCCTTGGGCTCCGGTTTCAGTGGCGGCGTGGTTTCCGCAGCTTTTTGTGGGGTTCAAAGTGGGTGCATGGTGGAAAAGATCGGCAAAGGTGGCAGCTTGGGGTGCTCTGCACCTCCTGGGCAGCTCAGCACAGAGCAGAGTTCTTTCTCCAACAGCACAAATCCCCACTGAAGCCCTGCCTGGGCTGTCCCTTGTCCTTTTCTGAGGACTTGCCATAAAGCTCACACAGATCGCTCCTCGCCTCAAAAGGCTTCGGATGAGTCTTCTCAGATGTGTGAAATGTTAACCTGGAAACCACACAAAATTCACTTCTGAGCTGGAGTTCGTTGTGGATGCAAAATAAGTTGTGCTTATTGGCATTTTAGTGTTTCATCGCTACTCCAGAGCAAACCTGGGCAGAACCGGGGCTTTCGTTAAAAATCAAGTGATGCAAAATGAGGAGCTTCTCATGCTCGTATTGTGAAACTGGGAGGTATTTGATGCCAGGCTTCATTTTGAGTTTCAGCCTCAGAATTTTAAGATAAAACTTGGAGAATTTAGCAGGGAGTGAATTGCAGAGCTCACTTGTAAAGAAAGTAGTGACCTCAAATGTCTCTCTGGGATCTCTGCTCTTCTGTTTTCCCCTCACTCCTTCCCCTACCTCTGTGCTTGCAAAGCATCTGTCAAGCACAAATATATTTTGCTTGCATTTGCATCAGGCAGACAATCTATCATGAGCAGAACTGTTTCTCATACAGTACTTTTAAGAGCTTGTGTTATGTTAATAATGTAATTACAATAATATGGTAATTTGCCAGTCATGTAATTTCTCTGAAAACAATTCTGGTTCCTTGGCTAAAGAATGTATAGTTGGATGTACAGTTTGATGCATTCTAATATCCACTACTAGAAATTGGAGTTTGATAAGAAAACAAACTGTTCCTCTAGTTTTACTTTTGGGGCACAATTTTTAGATGTTTCTCAAGCAACAAGTCAGTGGAAGTCCTGGTGCCTCAGGAGCAGGTGCTTGGCAGACTGATAACAGCAGGACAGCTGATGCACTTATTTTCCTCTCACACACACTCTGAACCCTTTCTCTCCAAAGATCAGCATTCCTGCATCAGTGCTCCTGGAAAATACATGGTGCAGTACCCACTAAGGACTGGGTTTTAAAAGCTTTACTGGTGCTTGTGGCTGATGCCTTCTCAAGGCTGCCCACGGGACCACAAGGACCGAGTTCTGACCTTGTTGTGGCAAAACAGTGGAGCCCTGAGTGTCTGCCATCAGCCTGGCAGTGACTTTCCACACAATGCTGAGTGAGTCACCACAGTTACAGGACATTACACATTTCACAGGACTGACCCCACATGGGACTGCTCATGACCACATCAAGGCACAGTCAGGGCTGGCTCCCAGAGCCCGTGTCCTTGGTTTGGCCCAGGTGTGCTGATGCTGGCACACCTCCCTGATGTAGCAAAAGGTCAGGTAGCGTTCTAGGATGGAAACAGGTGCTCTCTGTAAAGCCCATGTGAGCTAAATAGTAACAGAGAGGATGCCAGGCTGAATTTTCATGTCATAGCAGTGGAAAGCATCAATGGGGGGCTTAATTAAAAGGGATTTGAAGGTTGTCTTTCATTGGAAAGGTTGAATGTTGATTCATAGGAATTTTGTGTATGTGCAAGCTACGTAGATCCATTTATTTTGCTTTGAATAGAATTTTGCTACTCTGATATTCACCTGAGGTGCCAGTGTAATTTAGAGCTGCTTCTGGGATGTCATCTGCAGCTGGAGACACTGATGTCCATGAACAACACCCCCTTGTCTCAGCACAAAATGGCAAAATAGCTTTGGTTACAGCACAAACACTTTTATATATTATCTGAATGCATTGCTGGTATCCCCACGGGCTTGGTTTTATCCTGCCACTGCACCTTCACACCTACCTACAAATTGTAGGATGTTCTCAGTCCCAGTTTGATATCCTAGAAAAATATATCTTGAAGTTCCTCAGTATGACCTTTCCCTGCCCTGTGTGCAAACAAAGCACAGGACCTGACTTCAGGGACCCAGCAAGCCCAGCTTTATGTCCATGGAGTATTTTTAAACTTCCCTGGAGTCTTTTCTTCCAGCTGGGGACCACTTAGCTCTTGGTTTCTTCCCAGGGGTGAAATTTTTTGAGAAGTTTTGAAGAAAATTCCCTACAGCTTTTCTAAATTACTGGAGAGTTGGGAAGGGAGGGGGAATATCCACTTCTGTCAGCCAGCAGAGGCCCATGAGTAACTCATTCCGGGAATCCCCTTCCCCTGTGTTACTCCCAGCAAAGAGCTGGGAGTGGAGCTGGGTTTCACAAAGGGACAGTGAGGGCTGAGAAAGATTCCCTGTTTTGTGGCCACCCCCAAATATTGAAGTGTCTAGCAGTGAGCTTTAGGTGCTTGGTGTCTGATTTCCGTGCCAGCTCTGGTATGGGCTGTGCTGGGGCAGATTTCACCAGGGAGATGGCAGAAATTTTTCTTTACCTACTGGATTTGCCCACTTGATCAGCGGATGCAAATTGAGTTTCTGACTTATTCCTCTTCATGCCTTCAGCTGTTGTTTTAATTTCTTTTTTCGGATGAGTTTCTGTCTCCTGTTCCAGACATGTGGGAAAAAAAGGTCTTTCGAAACCCAGGGCAGCGGATCTAAGGAACTCCTTTTTCTGTCTGTCAGTCTGTCCAGAGTGAAACCTGCTGCAAGAGCTTGTCTGGAGAAACAGAAACCCAGCTAAAGCCTACTGCTCTTTGCTTATAGAGACTGTTTTACTTCTTCTGTTGAGTGCTTCTCAAATGAAAGAATTCCTTAGGAAGAAAACCACAGAAAATTCAACTTAGACAAGCTACATTGTTACACACAAAATAGAGTTAAAAGCCTAAATGCCCAGTTTGTAAGGCTATGGGTCAAATGTTCCTTTCACCCACATCATTTCCTTTTTCCAGTTAGATCGGAATGAACCCAGATAGCTGCAGTGACCTCGTGTTGCTCTGACTGCTGCAGCTTTTTTGCATTTCTTGGATCACTGAGACATTTGTATCCTTGTTGCTGTGTGCATGTTGGACATTCCTGCATTTAAACATGCAAAGTTTGGAGTGGACACTTTTGTTAATTGTGGTAGATCAGCAGCAGAAGATGCCACCCTTATGCCCTCTCACATTTCCTGCTCATCATTGCCTTGATTCTGAGTTCCAAGTGGAGTTTAATGGGGGTAATTAATCTGATATAAATGACTGATGCTATCCCTCTGCCTCTCTTGTGGTGAGTTAGCTATTTTCAGAGCCAGTTTGCTTTTACACCTATGCTGTGCACCCTGGAGGGGGATGGATGCAGACAGGAGTCTCAGCTGAGGGGTACAAACAGGTCATTGCCACCAAGAGATGCAATCCTGCTCCTCTCTGGTTTGTGATCCTCCTCTTCTTCGCACATGTCTGATCCCTGGATTATCTACTTCACCTTCCAGCTTAGCAGAAAGTTTCCTTTTTTCTCTTTTTTTAGACTGATATATTGAACCAGACTCTGGAGAGCCCTGCAAGGGGGAGCATGTGAGATTGGAAGGGAAAGGGGACCCAGATCCCCTCTGCTTGCATGGGGAAGGCATGAGATCATTATGAGTTTGCTGTTTGGCTGCATCCCAAGGTCATGCCAGGCTGGGGGAGAATTTCCACATTCAGAGAAATTCTTATGTGGAATTATAGAGTTTGTGTTGGAAAGGATCCTAAAGCTTATTTTGTTTTAACCTCCCTGCCACGGGCACTTCCACTAGACCAGGTAGGTCAGACTCCTACCCAAAGTGGCCCTGAACACCTTCAGGGCTGGGGCATCCACAACTTCCCTGGGCAACCTGAACCAGCACCTCACCCCCCTCACAATAAATAATTTCTTCCTAATATCTGATCTAAACCTTCCCTCCTTCAGCTTGAGGCCATTCTCCCTTGTCCTGTTGCTACATGCCCTTGTGAAAAGTCCCTCTCCAGCCTTCTTTAAGGCTCCTTTTAAGCACTGGAAGGCTGCTCTAAGGTCTCCCTGGAACCTTCTCTTCTCCAGGATGAAGGTTTCTCCTTCCTTTTAAGCTGTGTTTCCCAGTATAAATGCTGTGCACATGTGGATGTGGTATCTTCTATAGGGTGGCGAGGCAGGTGTGCTGGATGCAGTGAAGTCTGTTCACTGGGCAGAAGGAGGTCAGTTTTGGTTTAAAATAGATTAACTTTATGTTTAATTGTAGCTGTTCTGTCCCCCTTGGAGGGGCACCACCATTGGGAGTCTCAGGAGTTCATTTGAGAATATGTAAATCTTTCCCAACTCGGAAATGCCGCAGGCTTTGCTTCTGCTTTTTCACTGTTATGCTTTTAAAATATCATTGGTCCCAGGGGACTCCCTGATTGAAAAGAAAGTGCTGACTGATGGCTAATGGTGGCATTCCTACCTACCCTGAGCTGAAAGGACATCCACCTTTTGGCGAGCCCCAGTTCCTATCTATCACATAAAAGTTGTTAGAAAAGACGATTGAAGGAAGTCTCTCTGCTCACTACTGCTCTTGCCTTAGAAGGCACCCTCTGGTGTCCTTCTGAGTGCCCTGCAGACAGGGATTTGGTCCTTGTGGAAGTGTTTCAGAGAGAGCAGAGCTCGCTGTCAGACAGTGGTTCCTAAAAGGAGAGAGCCCTGCCCTGCCCTGCCCTGCCCTCAGTGCTCCAGCAGCACC